GCGCCCCCCGCCGCGCGCGGAGCAGGTCGGGGCGGCAGGGTAGGCGGGTGTTCCGGGGATCCGAGGGGTTTGACCGTCGCTTCCTCTGAGCGAAGGACCTGAGTCTTGGAGCGGGCATTCAGTGTGTTCCTGAGCACAGATGTCGGGCAGGCGGAGCGGGTTTTCCGCCGAGCGCCAGCCTGCCTCGGAGCCGCGGGCTTTCCCGTTCCCCCCTTTCCTTCGCTTTTCTTTCCCTTCCTCCTTCAGACGGATCCGACTCTGCGGCGAGTTTCCACTTAATTGTGACCTTTCGCTTGCTGTCACGGGAGTGGGAGGTAGATGCATCGGTGATGATTTTATTCTTCATATGGTGCAGACATGTGACTTCGTGGGGGGGGGGAGATTTTTGAACCTTTCACTTAAACTCAAATTATCTAGGCTTGACAAGGATGATTTGCCAGCTGGATTTTGTAAGGACTATTTGGAGAGCGCTCTTGGGCTTCAAACTACATATTGCCAGATGATGTCATGGGACAGCCCCTCCCCCCTTCCCTATTTCTACTGGTGGTTGAGAATCTGGTTATTTTGGGGCACAATAAAAAGAAAAATTAACCTCCGATTTTAAGGTTTTTAATTTGACATAATATTGAAATCCTTTTAGAAAGTTTTCTTTGATACGTTTAAAGATCATGACTTGGCGTGCAGATGTGTGTGACAATATAGTAAAAGTTTAGTGAACATTATATATTTTCTTTATTTTTACTTGCAGTGCGTTTTTTAAAACCTCCCTCTGAAATGACTAAGAACTTATCAAAATACCTCACTTTTGTAAAGTATTAGTACAGGTTGGGAATAATGTTTTCCTTCAGTAGATTTTTTTAAGCATCTAAGGGCTGTGACAACTGGAAATTGTTATAACAAGCTTTTTAAATCAGTGCAGCAAATGGTGGCCAGGAATGACACACATTTAAAAGTACAGCTGCAGCTGATTGGTAAAGTGAAGCCGAGGGTAGGGATTACCTTGGGAAATGCTTTGAACACATTTGCTTTGGCGACCTGGTTCCTGCTGCCTGGTACCTTAGGTTTTCAGAGGTTATACTGAAAGTTCTTAAGTCACATCGTCTTCCAATAGTTCATTTCCAAGTTAGTTGTTTAAAGGGTAAACGCATGTGCCTATAGGTGGAGTTACATGAATGGGTTTAGATCCTCAAACAAGCACCCTCCCAAACCTGTGTATCTCAGCATAGCTGAAAAGTGGAAGATTTGGAATAAAATTTGCAGAAGTTGAGACTGTATGGATTGAGGTCTGCAGTCTATTATAGGAAGCCCTTGGGGCTTTAAGTTTTTTAGATTTTAGAAAGATACTTTGGTACATATACCATCTATCATGTAATACCCACGGGAAGGTTCTAGCCCCATAATCAAGCATATTAATAACTGCAGTGAAATGTATTGTGTCACTCTAAATAGGATACAGAGTATATGTGTCACTCTAAATGTGATAAAGTCAGACTATTAAGTAACTGTGTCAATTCAGGTCAGGTGCATATTTTTGCTACTAAAGTTGCAAAAAGATTTCAATTTCAAAATTGTATAAAATTTTAGAATTATAAATAAAGGATTATGGGCTTATATGACTAATCAAAAGAATAGAGATCAAGGGAGAAAATTAAATCTTGAATTAAACCTTGAAAGACTCAAATTGAAATAGAAAATGATGAAGATGACTAGAAAAATGTGATTCTGAAGGCAATTTCTGGTGTTGATGAGGACTTTTAATATTGGTACCTTTTTAAAAATTTTGTTTGTTAAATAACAGATTTTATGAAAGAATTTATGGCAAAATATGCATGTGTGTGTGTGTGTGTGTGTGTGTGTTTGACAAAGAGATTTCCAGAGCTCGAATCTGAGCCATAGCACTGAAAAGCCTGTCAAGAAAATCTATTCTTGGTCCTTTCAAAGGATCCAGCCAGGAAAGCTGTATGATACTGAGTTTACCAGTATGTGGGGATGGTTTTGGTGTGTGTTGGGAGGCCGGTTGAGGGTGGGGTCTTGGAGGACGAGGAAAACGCTGCTTGTTTTTCCTCCTTGTGGATTAAATAGAGCTTCTGGAGGCTTGCTCAGGAACCTTATTGCCTCAGTAACTTTTTCTTTGAGCCATGTTAGTGACTGTCCCTTATTTCCCTAAGTTAATGACTCAGTCTGCATTGAGTTGGTGACTCAATTCAAGTAGACCTACAGTAGTGGGGTTTGTTTTTTCCAAAAAAAGTATTGTATCACATTTATGAGCATGTGGAAAGAGTTTAGAGTGAGAGCCCATTAACATAAATAGGAGGTTGCATTTTGGTAAACCTTATTAAGGTAGAAGAGTTTGTACTGTAGCCTAGAGGTTTAAAGAATGTTGCAGAGGGAGGAGAGCCACTGCTGGAAAGGGCAGCCCTAAAGCGATTGCTCCAGAGACTACTGGAGTGTGAAGGAAGGCCATTCTAGCCAGGAAGTGCCTGCTCTCAATGGTCCCAAACCTGACTGACCACAGAGCTACCATGGCAGCATGTTAAAGTCCTGATTCCACTGGTTCCAGCTAGAATGCACCTGAGGAGCTTTTATTTGTTTGCTCATTCATTCATTCATTGCTAGAGGGCTCATGCACTCTGAGGGGGCGGGAATACACCCCCAATGTGCAGTCTTGCTGCCATCCCTTCTCCTGCATTTCCCCATCCCATCAGGTTTTTGGGTACACACACAGGCACATGCACCCAAAGCTGTCAGGGCCAGGACTCCAGCCATGTTTGGCCGTGTTGGGTCTGACTCTAATAACCACTAGGGTACAGGACCAGCCCCACCCTGATAATTTTTTAAAACATCTTTTATACAAGCCCAAAAGCAAGCCAGTTAAATCAGGATTTATGATGAGGCTTTGGGTGTTTTCTTATTATTTTTTAATTACCCAGGTGTAGCTAATGGTGAACAGGGACACCATGCATGTATGTGCTGAATTAGAAGCTTCACAGATGATGCCCAGGCATCTGTGTTTTCAGCTGTACTCGCCCACATCTGTTTGTTTAGCTCATGAAGCAGCATCTGAAATAGGTCAAATGAATGAGGCACAGAGAAAGTCAGGTGTGGGGGGAGCCACAGAAAATGCAGTTACAGTGGGTGGTTAGAGACGCTCAGGAGTCTCACAGTAGAGCCCACAGAGGGCGTCGGTGTTTGCTTCAGGCCTTGCCACTGTGAGGAGGTGGCGCAAGTGCTGAGTCCCTGGAGTAGACTGAAGTGGTGTGCAGTGTGAGGGGCTGAGGATGTGAATGGAAAGCTTACTGAGGTGCTGGAATGGCGTGGAGAAGAACATTACAGGATAGCTGCTGCTGTAATGCAGGTATTAGAAAAAGTGGCGAATGGCAAAGAAAATGCTCAACAGAGGACAGAGTTAACGGTGACAGGTGAGGACAGGCTTGACTGTCTACCTGAACATTTTGTCAGGGTATCAGGGAAAGGGAAGTTCTCCATGGAGTAGGGTACCAAGGAGTAAAGGAGGTGCAACAAAGAGTTTAGGTCAGGAACGTGAAGGCAACTGGACAGTTTAAGACCTTAAGGAGGAGTTTGCCTGCAAGTTCAGGAAACTTGTCATGCAGGTGGAAGACACAGGGAAGAGCTTGCGGGAAAGCAGACAGGACTTGGAGCAACCTTGATGGGAAGTCTGTAAGGAGAATCAGTTCGTGTGCCTTTTGTCAGGTGTGTATAAATGGAGTCAGCAGAGCCCCTAGACCAAATGTAACTAGCAGTTACCAAACATGTGCTATGTTTAGCTTTGCACTGGATGCTACAGAAAATTCACATGAGGAGGTTTTTTTTAAAAAAAATGGCCTCTGCCCCAGGATATTCAGGACTAACACAAAGCAAAGCAGTATGTAAAAGCCACAGTAAGCCCTAGGAACAATTTACACTGTGGGGGACCCGAGAAGGAGACCAGTGTGTGCAGAACTGTGAAGAAAGGCCTTGAAATAAAGGCAGTGATTTAAGCTGGCTGGCCATTGAAGGATGATGGGATTTGGATGGGCAAAAGAAAGTGGGCAAGGAAGCCAGGGGGGAAAGCAACATGAGCAAGGCCTAAAGAAAAACATTAGGGAACAGTAAAGTCAGCCCGATCGAAGCTTGCTGGGAACTTGTGGGAGGGAAGTAGCATTGCATGGGGGCTGAGCCAGATCACTAAGCAGGGACGCTTGGATGTCTTTTTCTGAGGTTAGTGGGAAGCCATTGGAATTTGTTAAATAGAGGAAAGGCATCATGGAATCAGCGGCAGTGTGTAGTTAAACTGGAGGAGGGAGGAGGAAGAAAGTGAAGGAAGGAGCTTTGTAGTTGCCCTGAATGATGAGTGCACCAGCTAGGGTTGTGGCCTGTCAAGTGTAAGGATGGGAGGGTCCACAGTGTGGAACCGAACTAAAATAGATAACAGGAATGAAAGAGAAGGACTGCAAGGTTTCCAGCAAGATCTCATAGAGACAAGTATTTATAGAAAAAGGCAGTCAAGCTAGTAGCATGTGAGCTTTGTGTGTGTGTGTGTGTGTGTGTGTGTGTGCTTGAGAGAGAGGAGAGAGAGAACTTACTAAACCTGCCCAGCTATTTGGAACAATCTTATATATAAAAAATCTTGTTCCCATTGTCCATTATGTTCTAAACAAGAGCTAAGTTGAGAAAGAATGAATGCCATGGCGGTGAAGTTGTAAGTGATTTAATAAACTATAGATGTTACAAAAATGCATTATTATGAGTAATAATAAATAATAGCTGTTTATTGAATGTCTACTCTCAATAACTGTGCTAAGCATTTTCCACGTATTCTCTCATTTTATTGGTTACTACAACCAAGAACAAACACACAACCCTGTGAGGAAGATACTCCTGTTTCACAGAAAAGTAGTCTGACAGTTGAGGATACCTTGCAGAGGGTAGAATGGCTAAAGCAACACTGAAATGTCTCTGACCCAGGAACTTTGCTCCTTCTCTGTTCAAAGTTTGGGATCCATGTTACGGGATGTGTGTTATGCAAAGAACTTGTACCTGTAGCAGCAGTTATAATTTAGAAAAGAGGATGTGGTCCAAAACAAATTTGTTCAAGATCTTGTTACAAGAGAACTATTAAGGGAGAGGAAGATATGTTCTGGGATGTCTGATTGTTTGGGTTTTAATATATTATGGTGTGGATTTATCATTAAAGCCCTATAAAATGAAACAGTCTGATTAAAGCAAAATAACCTGAGAGTTGTAAGACATAAGAAGGGAGAGCTATAGCCATATCCTATGGTGCCTCTAATTTTGAGTGGGTTGTGAAGTCTGTTTGTCAGGTGTTTTTCTTTGTTTGTTTGTTTAACTACAGAGCCATAATGATGTAGTTGCCTGTTCATTCTCCCATTCAGAATTAATACAGTATGTTAGGACACAAACAATTTGACTACTTTAACAATCAGAGAAAAGTAGTCGTTATACACTGCAAACCATAGAACTTCCAGAAGTGTCAAATATAATACTGCTTTGCTATTTGTAACTCCCTATAAAATGGTGAAGTTTTTATTTATTTTTTTAAGAGAGATTTTTGCTATAAGGCACATGCACTTGCTGGAGAGACAGAAAAGAGACAAAGAGACAGAAAAACAAAAAATCAGCCCTCAAGGGGAATGACCACACCACACTCCCTTCTCCTCCATTCTCCTCTCCGGGTCTTGGGCACACATGCACACGTGCTGGCATGAGTTTTAATCACTGGGTCTAGGATTCACACTGCAGTCAACTATGTGGGAGTCCAGGGAGTAACCATTACACTATCTGCCAGTCCCAAAATGGTAAAAATGTAATACTACGATCTATTCCCTAGGGTAGATGTGAAGTTTAGAGTAAATAAAACACATGAATTGTTTTGGAAAAAAGCCTCATACAAAGTAAGCACTCAGGTGTTAGATGGTATTAAGAAAGCAACATGAATAGCTGTACAGCTGTTTGTAAGCTAGCCAGCACTCTCTGCTCCTGTTCTTCACAGCCTGGGTTCATCACACTTGGGCCCCTCTCTGTTGTTTTCATCAATCCACCTGCCTCATCTCTACCCCAGATGCACACAGAATTAAGGGATGGCATGCATTCTCTAAACTCTTCAGGACTGGTTTATGTTTGGGTTCGTATGAATTTCTTTTTGAAAAGGAAAAATAGATTTAAAAAGGGGTACAGCTACTGTTGCCGCCAGAGTAGCACCTTCTTCTGCCATGGTATTTGGAAATTAACTTGCTTATTTTTAGTTAGAATTAAGGAACAGAGAGTAGAGAAAAGTCAACAAAAGATGAGTAAGAAAGTGTGTGGAGATGAGAAAGCTCCAAGATGCTTTAATTTCCCTTTTTCTCCTGTTTCTTTGGTGTTTTTTTGTTTACTTGTTTTTCTAGTATTATAGTTGAATTTATAGGTGAAGGATCCCTTGTGTGATAAGATGTTATACTCATGAGTCTTACATGAATAATTGTTCTTAAGTTAGTATCAGTAACTTGGAGGACACCCGTGTAGCATGTTAGTAAGTAGTCAAAAAACATTTTTTGAGTTAACGTGCCTTTGGAAAGTAGAAATTACTGAAATTTTACTAATTCAGCTGAATTAAAAAGTCAGTCTGAAGTTCAAGTCTAGTCATTAAAGGAAGATATATTTCAAATTAACTTGGTTTTGATCTAATGTTTTTATTAGAGAACAGCAAAACTCTTAATTGATTCATTGAAGAGTTGTGACTGCATCAAATCACCCATTGTAAAAGTAGTATTGTACTATCTAGACATAATCTATTGATGCGTTTTCATCTTTCTCTATTTTATGAAATGAACGAATACTATTTCTGATGATAAAAGAACACTAGCATTTAGAACATCAGGACTAATGCTTGTAGAGTTAATTTTTAGTTGTTTAATTGGTAATAAAAGTTTGTTTTAGAACCTATATCCTGATCCTTCCTCATCTCCTTTGAAGGATAGTTTGTATCCCTTAAAGAAAGGGATTCTCTTGGGCTGCTGCTGTTTGGTTCCAGAGGGAAATTCACACCTTGAAGATAGCTGACTTCACATCTTCATAGGAGGATGTAGAACAAAGAGCACCTGTGATTTTATAACCCAGCATCCTAACATCCTGTTGGGGACTGTGAAAAAACATGCAAAAAAGAAAAACAAGTATCTTAACCCAGTAGCAGGCCTAAAATAATCTCATTTGTAGACTCTCAATACAGTTGAAACTTCATGTGCTATAGCCCTGACTGGTGATTTCCATCAATTCACAAAGAGACTTCAAAAAGTTTGTGGAGGGAACCAGCAGTTAGCATAATGGCTATGTCGCTGGACTCCATGTAGTCGACCGTGGTTCGCGTCCCGGACCCGGTGGCTTAAAACTCATGCCAGGCGCGTGTGCGTGCATGCCCAAGATCCCAAGAGGAGAATGGAGGAGAAGGGATTGCGGCATGACCATCCCCTCTTGGGGGTGATTTCTTGCTTTTTGTCTCTATGTCTCTCTCTGTCTCGCGAGCGCATGCGCCCTATAGCGAGAAAAAAAAAAAAAAACTCTCAAAAAAAAAAAAAGTTTGTGGAAAAGGGGGCAGCAGGTGCTGGATTTCCACATGGCCAACTGCAGTCTGAGTCTGGGACCTGGCAGCTTGAAAATCGTGCTGGGTGATTGTGTGTGCGTGGCCAAAATCCCAAGAGGAAAATGGAAGAAAAGGGATTGTGGTGGGGCTATCCTCCTCGGGAGGTAATTTTTCACTTTCTCTCTCATTGTCATTGTCTCTGTCCAGTGAGCACACATGCCCTATGGCAAAAACCTTTTTTAAAAAAGTGTGGAAAAAATAGAATTAATGTACTGATTTATTTTGGTGACCCCACCCCACCCCCCCAAAAAAATTGGATGTCCATGCAGGTTTTGTTTTTAATTTGCTAGAGGAGGATACATGCACTCACCAGAGAGAGGAAGAAAGAGAAAGCACCTCCCCAGTGGGGCTCTGCTCTTCCATTTCTTCATCCTGTCTAGATTTGGGGCACGTGTGCATGTGTGCCTGCCATGTTTTTCTTCTTCTTCTTCTTTTTTCTACAGGTTTATGCTATAGGGCATGTGCACTCACCAGACAGACAAACAGAGACAGAAAGCGAGAAATCACCCCCCAGGGAGGATGGCCACATCGCAATCCCTTCTCCATTCTCCTCTTCGGTATCTTAGGCACGCACACACAAGCGCCCGGCGTGAGATTTAAGCCACTGGGTCTGGGGTCGACTACATGGGAGTTCAGCGACATAGCCATTACTAACTGCTGGTCCCCCTGCCATGTTTTTCAAGCCATTAAGGCTAGGATTCAAAACGCAGTTGGCTGTGTGCGATCTGGTTCCCTAACCCTCAGGTCATAGTGCTAGCTTGCAGTATTTTGTAGTACGCATTTTTTACAAACTTTTGGAAGACCTCCCTCTTTTGTATTTTAAAAGTTGGTAAAGCAGGTATCTTAAGTGCTTTTTTTCTTTTAACTTAAAACATATACATGTAAATTTATTCCCCAGCCTTTTTTTAGATTATTTACATGATAATTTTATAATAACCTTTGCATAATAATCTCAGGAAGCCACTTTCTCTCTTCAAAAAGTAGTTTTTAATATCCATTGTAGAGAGTTCTCAAAATCATTGAGACGTAGGGATGAATTTGGTAGACATAAAAATTCAACTTAGATTATTTTAATTCAGAGACTGTAAGATAGTAAAGTATTCTGGCTTTAAGATCTTAATATTTCAGTATCAGAAGATGGTGTAATGGTTCCGTTGCTGGACTCTCATGTAATCAATTCCAGTTCGAAAGCCCGGACCCAGTGGCTTAAGATTCATGCTGGGTTTGTGTGTGTGCATGCCCAAAGCCCTGAGAGGAGAATGGAGGAGAAGGGAATGGGGGGGGGGTGATTTCTCACTTTCTGTCTCTCTATCCCTTTCTCTCCAGTGAGCACACACACCTTACAGAAAAAAAAAAAAAAAACCTCTCAAAAAAATATTTACTATTTCATGATGGAACAGAGCCAGCAATTATTTATTTATTAAAGGTTGGGTTAGAATGTGAACAAAAATGTTTTTCTTTTAAGGCAGCTTTCAGAGGATAGAGAATGATCAAAGTAAATTTTACCCGAATTTTGAATGTAAGAGAACTCGGTATTCAATACAAGAGTGAGACCGTATCTATCCTTCAATAGATATCTGATAGAAACATATGATAAAGAAATCAAAACTCTAACTCAGAATCAATCTGTTACTCAGTAAAGATCGAAAGTAGCAACTCATATTTAGATACATTTAAAACAAGGTCGAAAATATACAACTGTTAACAGGAACAAACAGATACTCTGTTTAAATTTTTTTTAGATTATTTACATGATAATTTTACATGTAATCTGCATGATTATATATTTAAAAGCCCACTGAGGTCCATGTTAGTTACTTGTAAAATATGAGTTTTGATTATTTATTGCCATAAGTACTTAAAATTTTCTTTTTTTGTTTTTTTTTTTTTTGCTATAAGGCACGTGCGCTTGCCAGACAGACAGAGACAGAAAGCGAGAAATCACCTCCCAGGGGGGATGGTCATGCTGCAATCCCTTCTCCTCCATTCTCCTCTTGGGATCTTGGGCACGCACGCACACGCGCTCGGCGTGAGTTTTAAGCCACCGGGTCCAGGACATGAACCACGGTCGACTATGTGGGAGTCCAGTGACATAGCCCATAGCCATTACGCTAACTGCTGGTCCTAAAATTTTCTTCTTTTTATTGAACACAGTGTGTGATAAACTGAGCCTCTTACAGGGAAGATTAGCCTCTGCTTAGAGAGGAAAGTCTGTTATTTAGCATGCTTTTCTTAAAGTATTTGGAGTATTTTTTCCCTCAATGAGCCCTTGTGGTGTTTTCCCTCTGGTTCTGTTTGTACTTATCTCCCGTCTACAACAGCTGGTTGGGTATCCCTGCTACTCTGGGCTCTTCCACACATCCAGCCCACTGCTTGGAGGCTGGCCTCGTTCCAGGACTTCGCCGTTCCTGTGCCTCTTTTGTAGGGCTCAGAGATGACACTTCCAAAACTGCTCCGGAAACCAGATGTAATGTCTGTGGTAGGTCAAAGTTTCAGAAGGTTTGTAAAGTACCGTTCTCTAACCTTTCATTTAGCCTCAAGTTTGATGTCGTGGTAATAGCCAGCTTCTTGATTGGAGTCTTTCATTTCTGGCTCGTCAGCTCTCCGTGGCGCAGAGCGGTGGCCTGTTTTGCTCTCGTTAGTCTTCAGTTATGCGTTCGGTTTCCCTTGTGCAAGCTGTGATGGGCAGCTGCTGGGGTGAGGGTTTGCTTTTATTTATGTCAACCTGTGAAAATGTCCATGATTTATTTACATCAACTCAAGAGACTTCTTAGACCAAGGAATTTTTTCCTGTTCTTTGAGCTTTTTTGAATACAAGAAATAGTCCTTTTATGCCTCCTTTTGACAAAAAGGGATTTATTAGAATTATGTGTGTAGCTAAGAACCAGAACGCAAACAGGAACAGAGACTGGCTGGTTTCTGTACACATGCTATTTTATTCTTAGCTGATCAGTCTTTTTATTGTTCTTCATTTAAAATCTGATTGACATCCTAGGAGGCATTAGTGCCCTTTACGCCAGGCGGTTGATACATGGCCACCCCACCATGAGCCAGGCCAGTGTTTCTCTGGTTGAATGTCTCTGCTCAGATCCATCGCCATTCCTACACAAGAATGGCTGTCGTACTGTGGGAAGGGTTGATGGGAGTGGGGCAGTTTCAGTATTGTAGAAAGTTACATTGGAGTTGGCAGCCATGACGATGTTCTGGATACACCGTCCCTCAAACCTTTGTACGCCTTCCTCCATGGGCCTGTTTTCCTGTCAGAAAAGTTTATGAGCTATCCCTGCTCATTGCTTTCAATTCTTAACTTACCTTTAATTTGTCGATCTGTTTCATGTAGTTTCTGCCACCACCATTCCCTTAAGTCTGTTGTCTCCATTGTCCACAAGGTGTTATAGCTATTTTATCTCTGCAGGCACATTTTAGGCCTAATCGCTCTTCACCATTTAACGTTGTACCACCCATTTTTCCCCTGAAACTTTTATCTTCTATTTTTGTTTTGCTTTAGATTGTTTGCCATAGGGTGCATGCACTTGCTGGGGAGAGAAAGAGAGAGAGGGAAAGTGAGAAGTCATCCCCTGGGGGGGATGGCCATGCTTCTCCAGATTTGGGGCATGCATGCACCCACACTTGTGTTTTTCAGGCTACCTGGTCCAGGACTTGAACCATGGGGTCAGTCTTATGGGATCCAGCACCTTAATCACCATGCTGGCTGCCAACCCTCCTTCACTAGTTTTTAACATCTGTCTTCTGGATTTCTATCCCTTTGGTCATTCTTTCTTTTTCTTTTTCTTTCCTTTTTCAATTCATGAGAGAGTACGTGCATAAGTGGGAGGGGGAGAGAGCGTGAAGGGCACTCTTGACAGTGTCTCTTCATGCCGCAGTCCCTTCCCGTAGCCCTCCGGCTTGTCAGGATCTTGGGCACACATGTGCTCTGTGTGCCTTCAGGTCAGCGTGGGATCCAAACCCACAGTGCGCATGACCAGTACTGCAGTTCAGTGTGCTCCTGTCTGCCACCACAGCCTCAGCCAGACCAGGTCATTCATCCTGTATGTCCTTTGTCCTCTCACATCGTACGTGCCAGTGTGACCTGCCCTTCTGCTTTTATATTAGTTTTCTCTTGCTGCATAACAGTACTCCTGTCAGTTAGAAAATTCCATTCTTTTTTCATGAGAAGTATGCTTTTGCCTAGTGAGCATTGGTTCTTTTTCTAGTTACTCACAAATCACGTGTTTATGTAACTCAGTCTAGAATTTCCTTCAAATATGCCTTCTTCTTTAAAGTGACTTATTAAAGCATGTCTCTCCTCCCCAAAATAGAAATAAAACATTTTGCATTGTTTGTTTTATTTATTTTATAATTGAAGGGATTCTTCTTTCATTTTCACTATGTTTCAGTCAGATCTGAAATGGCCGTTCCTGTTTTACCCTGTCTTAGCCCGCACTGCACCCTCCTTGATTCCATTCCCACTGTCTCAGTTTAGACTTTGTTGCTTCCACTAGACCTGTTTTAGCTTCCAGTACTAATCCTGCAGTCTAGGGACTGGAGTCATTTTCCTTTTCTCTTTTTTTGGGGGAAAGGTTTTCGCTGTAGGGTGCATGCGCTCGCCAGACAGACAGAGAGAGACATAGAGACAGAGAGTGAGAAATCACCCCCCAGGGGGATGGTCACACCGCAATCCCTTCTCCTCCATTCTCCTCTCGGGATCTTGGACACGCACGCACACATGCCCGCCATGAGTTTTAAGCCACCGGGCCCGGGACGCGAACCGCGGTTGACTACGTGGGAGGCCAGTGACATAGCCATTATGCTAACTTCTGGTTCCCTGGAGTCATTTTCTAAATGTCATTTTTATTATTCTGAAGTGTAGGACCTATGCACAAGATCCACTCTTATGTCAAGTTCTGTAATGAATAGGAATTTCCAATCCAGCATAAATGACCAATATGAGAATAATTATAATTTAAGTGGAATAATTTAAATGATAAGAGTGATTGGTTTTTATAGAAATGTTGAAGGGAGTGCTATATCAGGAAAGCTAAAGTCAGACACACAAAAATAAGAGTTCAAAAACAACTAAGAAAATGGCCACCTTAATCGTAGGAACAAGTCCAGAGTTGGATGTTACCATCCAGAATTTAACAGAAAGAGTGGGCTACAACAGAAGATAGTTAAATTAAGTACATGAGACTGAACTTGTGAAATAGAATTTTATGACTTTTGGGTTTTTTTTGTTTTGTTTTGTTTTGTTTTGTTTTTTTGAGAGGTTTTTACTGTAGGGCACTTGCGCTCGTCAGAAAGACAGACACAGAAAGTGAGAAATCACCCCACAGGGGAGATGGCCACGCCACAATGCCTTCTCCTCCATTCTCTTCTTGGGATCTTACACATGCACACGCACACACACCTGGCGTGAGTTTAAGCCACTGGGTCCGGGACATGAACAGCGGTCGAATACATGGGAGTCCAGCAACATAGCCATTACGCCAACTGCTGGTCCCAGAATTTTATGACTTTTGACTAAAACATTACTGATCTTCTATGCTTTGTTTTTCAGAGTTTAAGATTTTTGTCTACTCTTGAGTTGTGGACAGGCTCATATATCTACTATTTGAACAGAATCCTAACCTGTTTCCTGGTTTTAAGTCTTAAGCAAAGTTCTCTTAACAATTTTTTATTTTGATTTATTAAAGGTAAAACTGCCTTTGTTGAAATTAAAAAATGTATTAAAAATACCTATTTAATGACCACAGTAAGCTATATAGCCTCAGCTAGGAGCTATTTTATAGTATATTCATTCTACTCACAGAGTTTCTTGCCTAAAGTCAAACATGTATTCACAGATATGTATATATCAGCTGAACTCACTATTGAAAGCGGTGAGATTAATTAAGATATTTTGTGAATCAATAAAATATGGGGGAAAAATTAATGGAAAGCAATTGTAGATTCCAGAGGCAGTGTGGGAGGAGGGTGGGAAATGGCAGAGGGTGAGAAATAGGGGGAAATAATTGTATACACACACGTACATACATACATGCATACATACACACACACACAAAGTACTTCGGGGGATAAAAGAACTCCTAGAGGGTTTATCTTTTTAACTTGAACCTTTAAAGTTACTTCAAATGACAGGAAAACCTTCAGTGAATCAACCTGTAAAGTATCACATGCATGTTAATTATTAAAAATAACATACATGGGGCCGACCCCATAGCCTCGTAGTTAATGTAGCCAGATCCAGCATGGCCAGCTGCAGTTCAGCTCCTACCCCCACAGCCTTGAAAAACATGCTGGCCATGTGTGCACCAGTGGCCAAAATCCTGAGAGTGGAGAAACACTCGGGAGGTGACCATGCCCCGTTGAGAAGTTCTCTCTCTCTCTCTCTCTCTCTCTCTCTCTCTCTCTCTCTCTTTGTCTTTCTGGTGAGTACACATACCCTCTGGTAATTAAAAAATATTTGTTACAAAAAATGGTATTATCTAAGTTCATAGTTAGAATAGCAGTTCACATTAATGGCGTGTGTACCATGTACAAAAAGCAGTGTTCATTATGCGATATAAATTATCTCTGTTGAGCTCTATAAAATCTCTGTGAGTAGATACTCTTATAATCTCATTTCCAAACTATAAGCAGTTATTTGGGCTGTTGGAAAACTCATGATGCATTTTTGCATAGAAACAGAAATATGCCATGACTTTTCTGACAACCCAAAAGATAATACAGCTCTTCTTTACATAATAGAGTTTGGACCTGGAAAAGGTAAGTGAGTTTATATACATCATTTTTATCTGTCATCTATCTAAAAATCTAAAATCTATCATCAAACTAAAATCTCTATTATGAATCTTTATGATCTTTATGACTTCTGTGATAAAATAAGTAGAAGGAATTATACAATGTTAAATTTTCTGTTTTTAGGGTTTGGACAGAGGAGCCAAAGGCCAAATTTCTACTTTTAGCAGTTTTATTTCAACTGTTAGCCAGAAGAAAGAAGCTGCTGAAACCAGAAGTTCACCCACACATCTTGTTTTCCCTAACATCAAGAATGGTAAATTATTTTTAAATATACTTATAATCATTAAAAGTATATATAGTCTATATATTAAAGTAGGTTGAAATATATTATTAAACTATTTAAAAATAGATTTTAATTATTCAGCATTGTTCTAGAATGTCTAGTTAATACAACAAAAAAGAAATAAGCCACATGAATAGTTATGAGAAGAAGCAGGACCATTATTTTTAGGTAATTGTTACCTAGAGTAAGAGAATGAAATAAACTTATGAATAATAAGAAGATTTGATCAGAGAGCCAGCTACAATATAAATATAAAAATACTATATATATAATACATTTGTATATATTTTCTCTTACATAATAATATAACACAATGTTCATAGATTTTTGTATATTTGAACAGTAATCAGAAGACTTGATGGAAAATATAGGAAATACTTAGAAATAAACATAAAAGAAAATAATACAAAACCTATATTGAGAAAACTATAAAACTATCAAAAAAGGAAAAGGTTGCTTGAATGGGAAAACTTATATATATCATAGAGACGTCAGATAAAGCTAATATACTGTCTATATTTAATAAACTTTTCAACAGATTTTTGAAGAAACTTTAAGATGATCATTTGCTCTGTAAGAAGAAATGAAAAGATGTAAGAAAAAATGATTCTTCTAGCATTATTGAGCCATTATGGCATAGATTATAAAGCTGTCCTAATAACAGCATTGCCACCAGAAAAACCAAGTAGAGATAGTTCATTAAAATATTGTATGTAAGTGGCATTCAGAAATGGAATTAGGCCAACTGGTTACACTCTTTTTCTTTTCTTTTTTGAGAGATTTTTGCTATAGGGGGCATGCACTCACCAAAGAGACAGAAAGACAAAAAGCAAGAAATCACTCCCAAGGGGAATGGCCACACCGCAGTGCCTTCTCCTCCCTTCTCCTCTCAGGATCTTGGGCATGTACACATACACACACCAGGTCTGAGTTTCAAGCCACTGGGTCTGGGACTCAAGCTGGTGCCTTACCTACCATACCAACTATTGGCCCCTGGTTACACTCTTGAAATAAAATCAGTTTTGTTGTTTATTTAGCTGTAAAAGTACTAGAAGGTGATGCAGGAGATTTTTAAGTGTATGTATATCCTCACCAACCGAGTAATTCTATTTCTGGGAATTTTATGTAAGTAAACAATATAGCATATGTACAAAGGTACATGAAAAGAATGGTTATTATCCATAATAGTGGTATTCAAAGCAATCTAAGTAGATTGGTTAACTAAATTACATTAATTCATATTATCAGTAGGATATTTCTAAGAATAATGTGATCTGTATATGAAGAAACATAAATGATGACAATACATCATAAAATGAAAAAACCAGGTTACACAAGTACAGGTAAAATGCGACTCCCAATTTCCTTCCAGTAAGAGGAAAGAAACCTTTATATGTCTTTGAGTATAGGATACGCACCAGTCTGTTGATATTTCTTCAGGGAGACATGATTAGGTGTATATTATTAACTCCTCTTTATTTAACTCTGTTGTTTTATGACAGGGGCTATCACTATTTGACTGCTTTAAGGGCCTTTCATCCTGTGACAAAGCAACATAAATCTGCGAAGGTTTTAATTCCCCTTATAACCAAGCCCAACAAACCAAACCTAGAAACGTTGATGAACATAGTTTTGCTAACTTGCCTTTGTGCATGTGCTGCACGTGCGTGAGTTGTTACTACACAGATGTTCTGTCTGACGGTCCACACTAGTGCCACACCTCCTCGACAACTACGTTAGTATTTGTATCACCTCACTTACCAAACTTTGCTTTTGATAACTTATTTCTTTTACTTATTTACACGTATATACACATATTCCCTCAACTCAGTCTTACCCCAGGGAGTCACCAGTGCCTGGATGTCACAGTCACCCAACCCACAACACAACAAATGTCACTGTGGTACCATCACAGAAATAGAGAAATAAAGGAAGTGAGCCTCTTTGACAGGGGTGAGGAGTTGAGAGAAGGGATTTCTGTTTTAGACATATAAATTAGGTAATAATTACAAGTTTTATTTTTATAATATATATCATTTAGATAAAACTTTAGTGTTTATCATTTTGAGTCACAACAATCACATAAAGTAGAACAGCTTTTAGAATCCTCACTGTATTAGTTTCCTATTACTTTATAACAAGTTACCACAGACCTAATGACTTAGAAACAACACCATTTGCTAGCTCGCAGCTTTTTAGGTCACAGTTGTAGATGGATGCAGCTGGGTTTTCTACTCAAGCCTCTTTCAAGACTGAGATCAAGGCCTTGGTTGGCCTGGACTCTGGGCAGGCATTGCTTCCAGGCTCCTTCAGATTGTTGTAGCATTTGTTCTTTATGATTATAAGACTGCTGTCTCATTGCCTTGCTGGTTGCCATCGAAGGGCTGCCCTCACCTCCCAGAGGTCACACATAGTTCCAACTGCCATGAGTCTTCTCACAACCCATAAGTATCAAAGCTTACCTTTTCTTTGCAATATCAATATCCCTGTTTTGTTGTCCCATTTATAGGTACCAGGGTTTAAAACGTCAGCATACCTTTTTGAGGGGCATAGTTAAACCTACAACAGAGGGTTAGGAACCTTAAGAAAATCGGAATGTGGGGCCAGCAGGTTGCATAATGGCTAAGGTGCTGGACTCCCACATGGATAACCGCGATTTGAGTCCTGGATCTAGCAGCTTGCTTTCTCACTTACATTCTTTCTCTCTCTCTGTCTCTCTCTGGTCAAATTAAAAAAATAATAACAATAAATTAAATTAAATAATTATTTAAAAAAAAAAGAATTGGAATGTCTACAAAGAAGAAATGACAGGGGATCATAAAGAAATAGTGGATAGCCAAAACCTTTGTTTGAGCTTTAGTTCAAATTCCTTAGCATTCGGGACCAGCAGTTAGTGTAATGGCTATGTTGCTGGACTTCCATGTAGTCAACTATGGTTCGAGTCCCATACCCATGGCTTAAACTCACGGCAGGCATGTGTGCATGCATGCCCAGGGTCCTAAGAGGAGAGTAGAGAAGGGATTGCAGCGTGGCCATGCTCTCTGGGGGATGATTTTTTGCTTTCTGTCTCTCGTCTCTCTCTGTCTGTCTGGTGAGCACATGTGCCCTTTAGCAAACACCTCTCAAAACAAAACAAAACAAAACAAAACAAAAAATTCTTTAGCCTTTGATTCTGTGGTCTGATTTCTTTTGTCCGCATTCTGCCTGAGCCAGTGTCTTGATGTCCAAACTCAGCTTGCCAGCTCACATGCCCACAAGTCCTTGAGTGACTGGACTGACTCTGAATACAGTCCACCTGTTTGAACTTCCACCACTAGTATGTTGAAAGAATCCTTTCATTGACTGGAAAGTTAGACTAAGTCTTCCAAATGTATTATGTTTATAATGCTTTGATCTTTTAAGAAACCTCTCTTGCCAGCAAGATTGTTTCCTTAAAGATGCATCATTCTTGGCAGTTATTGCAGTTTTCCTCCCTCTTCTCTGGTAGCAGGACCTATGCTGGGTATTCTCTAACAGCTTGTCTAATCTTCAAGTGGTATTAGAGAAGCTGCAAAAGGCCTGCGTGGGTTTATCTAACAGCTGAGGGATGCCTTTCCTCCCTGTCGATCACATGACTAGGTATGCCTGTCAAGTTGGCTGTCCTTTTAAGATGGGAGAAGGGTAGGCGTGTTACCTACTATAACAGCTGCTGGGGATGATGCATCTTCAGAGAAGCAATCTAGCCAATAAGTAATGGGGGTGGAGTTAGCTCTACATCCTCTCTCACTCTTCTGTATCTTCTTGTCTGAAGTTACTATGTCCCTTTGCAGATGTCTTTAAAGAAACAAAGCATTTTTTCCCAATTTTTTTTGCACTCTTGGTCATTCAGAAAAAAGTAGGTAAGAACCCTGACAGCTACCTGGTGGGCAGAGGTCTATTCCCAGCCCAGCCCATTTCATGAGTTTATCTGACAGAGCCCTGAAAGAACACGACGAACTGCACTTTTACGCACCTGGGGAAATGAACTCCATGGGATTTACCACTCTAACATAACGGAGGGGAGAACAGGGTGGTCTTGAGATCCAGCGGTGCATGGGCCTGTGTGTGGGCCCTGCGAGCGTTTCACAGGCAAAGGACCACCAGGTTTTACAGTTTCTCTAAGCAACTTGAGGGGCAGACAGGGAAACAGGCTGTTAGAAGGTAGGATGCTTCGTGGTTTCTGCCCTAGCCATATCTCCAAGACCTCAAGGAACCCCATCTTCAGATGTCCTTGGAGAATGAACTGCTTCCATTTTGGATGGAAGCTCTGAGATACATCACTAGGTCAGAGTGAGTACCTTGGATTTGACTGTTCTTAACTATTCCTGAGGGAAAGTGTTTCAGAGGATTTTCCTGCATTTTTTGTTTACTTATCTGTCACTTTACTAATCTGTGCACTCCTGAAGCTTTTGTTTTTGAGATGGAAAGAACTTATTTTTTTTTCATATTAACTTTTCAAATAGTTAACTTGTTTATGGGTTTCAGAAATCAAAACTACAAAACTGTGTTGCAGATATGTCACTTTGACACTCTTGCATGTGTCTCTTGTATTCTTTCCTGTGTCTCTTTATGCAAATACAGGTAAATAAAAACATTCTCTCACTTCTTGTCTTTTCCTAAAGAAAGGTAACTGTATAAACCTCGTCCATACCTTGTTTTTTCACTTCCTGTGAATGTATTATAGGTGTCTTTCTATTTCAGTACGTGGAAGGCTTCCTTATTCTTCCTCACAGCTTTATCCCTGTATTGTACACGTTATAATTTATTTACTCAGACTTCTGTTGGAAGAGTCGTGTCCATCCGTTGTTGTAACCACGCCGCAGTGAATGACCGTGCACCTGCTATTTTGTTCATCTCTAGGGTATTCCCAGAAGTGGGATTGCTGGGTCTAGGAGTAAAAGCATTAGCAACCCTGAGCTCAGAGCCCATCTGTCTCCAGCACCCAGTACCCA